ATGTTGTTTTTCCTTTTCTCTTCACATGACTCATTCAACATTTGAACATTTCTGAATCTGCTGGAACCTACAAGCTTTCGTTGAGCCTGAATTATTCATAACTCTGTGAGTGCAACCTTAAATTCTGGAGATTTTTTTTATTACCCTATGAGGTTTTGTTCTCTGTTTTTTGTTTTTAGGTATATCCTACTTTTGCTATCAGTAAAGCAGCTACCATTTTGTAACAGCTTAGGAACTCAGAAAATAATTCCCATATACCCCAGCAAGCATGAATCTGACAGAAAATAGTCAATGTTGACAGAAAATAGTCAATGTTGATATAAATCTACAGATGCCATATTATATTTAACAGCTTCTAATTTTACAGTGTTAGTGTTTATTTCATGTAATTTCTTAGTAACAGGGCTGCCATCAGAAATATTGAAGACTACTACATTTCTATTAACTCTCTGCTGTGCTCCTTGCATCATCCCAATCCCCAAACCCCTACTTTGGTATCTTTAGCTCCATTTCCTCTTGTACAATTTAACCTTTTATTTCAGCATTGCCATGTTTTTCTTTGCAGTTTTTACTTTTTTTTAGCTGTCCCTGCTGCCTTTTGTAATTTTTTACTCCACCTTTAATGATCTCCATTTTTGTTTTTATATCTCTTGCCCTTCCTTCACCCACTTCCTCGTTTAACCTAGTCCTTCTCAATCTTTATCTTTTTGCTCTCTGCACATTTCTTTCTTAGATCCCATCTTGTCTCCTTTCCTTTATCATTTTCAGCTGCCAGTACTCAGAATTGTTCAATGACCAAACAAGGACTATAACTCCATTAAACCAGTATATCCCTAAGAAATAAATTCTTCCATCACTTACTGCCAACTTGAACTGTATCTGTTATATATTCACAAAGAGCTCCATAAAACATATTTGTACAAATACATTTCTGTCCATCATAGGTACCTCCATTTTGGCAAGAGACTGAAAAAGATGGAGAGAAAAATCCATGGGTTTTGTGTTAGACACTGGGAAGACCTGTAAATCTACTAAACTCAACATTCATGGGAGAACAGGTTAAAAACATCCAGGAGTTGAATGCAGAATGCAACCCTAAATAGAGAGAACGTATTACCGGACCTTAGAATGGCCGGGTTTAAAGTGGTTAGCAAGATAATAGTCAAGAAATAGCCAAAGTCCAGAAAAAGCAGAGATCAGGATAACGGTAAAGAATAGCCAAGTCAGGACACCGAAATATACAAGGTTAAATGAGAAAACGAGGCTAGTCAAGGATACCAGATAAACAGAATAGTCCAAATACAAGCCAAGTCAAAATATCAGTAAACACTGATCGGGAAATTCAATAGCACTAGAGGGAACAACAAGTGAACCACAATAGGACACTGAACAAAAGCAAAAGACGCTCTATTTATAGAGAAGTGTATTTTGCTTTAAACCACGCCCTCAAAACGTCAATGGGCATTGAATATTTAGAATTTTTGCGGCATTGTCGTTATGATGTTGGTACACATGCACTGCCTCATAAAAAGAGGCGTGATCGTAGCAGCCAGCGTCGGACATGCCATGCCGGTGCCGGGAGGAGTTTGCAATTGAAGTCCCCAAGCTAAGATATCATGACAGTTGTTACTTGGTGGTGGTAGGGTAGTATTGGCTGATGGGTAAATTAGTCAAATACTTTGATTATGTAGCGAGAAAGCTATAGATCATGCCCTAAAGTTATTAGGAGATTTGGGTGACTCCATAATTTTATGTCTCCATAATTTTTTTCTGGAGTAAAATTAATCCAGAGCCTGTTTTTTTTTTGTTTTGTTTTTTGTCTTGTAGATAGACATTATGCTGAAAAATTCTAATTTAAACCAAAATCTGAATTAAAGAAATGCCTTAAAAGCTCTAAATCAAACTTTTGCTGCCACCGCCAATAAACTGCTGTACTGAGACAGATGCTAATAAACTAATATCTACTAGTTGAGGAAATGGCTAAAATGACAATAAAGGGGTAAGTTATCATCATGGGTGACTTTAATCTTCCTGATGTGAATTTGAAAACCAAAATAGCTGCTTGTGCCAGAAGCACACATATTCTAAACTCCCTATTGGGATTGTCTCTAAAACAAGTCGTTGATGAGCCAACTCATTAAGAGGCCATACTAAATTTAGTGTTAACAAATGGAGATTTGGTATCAGATATTACTGTAGGTGAAAGTTTAGGATCCAGTGATCATCAGTCAGTGTGGTTTAATATAAGAACAGTGACTGAGTCACACAACACAAAAAAAAAGTTTTAGACTTTAGAAAAACAGACTTTTCTAAAATTAGAATGTGTAAAGGAGTCATTATCAGACTGGAGCAATTTAAATGGAGTCCAAGAGACATCAGATTATTTAAAAGTTGCACTGCTGAAGGCAACACAAAAATGCATTAGACTTGTCAGTAAAAGCAACTAATTCAAGAAACCACTGTGGTACTCCACAGATGTGGCCAAAATAGTAAAAAACAAAAAGGTTAGCATTTAGTAATTATAAAAAAAAACACAAAGTGAGGAAGAAAGAATGATCTATAAGATTAGGCAGAAAGAGGCTAAGCAAGTTATAAGAGCTTTCAAATCACACCCAGAAGAGAAAATAGCACAGTCAGTAAAAAAAGGGAACAAAAAACATTTTTTAGATACATAAATGAGAAAAGGAAAGTAAAACAAGGATTAGTTAGATTAAAAACAAAAGAAGGAAGGTATGTAGAAGAGGATAAAGGTCTAGCTGACTGCCTCAATTAATATTTTTGTTCAGTATTTACAGATGAAAATGAAGGAAAGGTGCCTCAGTTAGGAAAAAGGACAAATGAGTCATTTGTTACATGTGAGTTTACAGAGGAAGAGGTTCTATTTCAACTGTCAAACGTAAAGACAAATAAGTCAATGGGACCTGATGGAATACACCCAAAGCTATTAAAAGAGCTTAGTGGTGTACTAGCAAAACCATTAACAGATTTATTTAACCAATCATTGTTAACAGGAGTAGTCCAAGAAGATTGGAAGTTAGCGAATGTTGTGCCCATTCAAAAGAAATGTAGTAGGGAGGAGTCGGGCAACTATAGGCCAGTAAGCCTTACTTCAGTAGTTGGGAAAGTAATTGAAAACCATGTTAAAGGATAAAATTGTTGAACATCTAAAAACACATGGATTGCAAGATCAGAGACAACATGGGTTTACTTCAGGGAGATCATGCCAAACTAATCTCATTGATATTTTTGGTTGGGTAACTAAAATAATAGATCAGGGTGGTGCAGTAGACATTGCTTACCTAGATTTCAGTAAGGTTTTTGACACTGTTGTACGTATAAGGCTTATCAATAAACTGCAATCTTTAAGTTTGAATTCCAATATTGTTGAATGGGTAAGGCAGTGGCTGAGTGATAGGCAACAGAGGGTTGTAGTCAATGGAGTATATTCGAAGCATGGGCTTGTCACCAGTGGGGTACTTCAGGGATCTGTACTTGGACCCATTCTCTTTAATGTTTTTATTAGTGATATTGCAGAAGGTCTTGATGGTAAGGTATGTCTTTTTGCTGATGATACTAAGATATGTAACAGGGTTGATGTTCCAGGAGGGATAAGCCAAATGGCAAATGATTTAGGTAAACTAGAAAAATGGTCAGAGTTGTGGCAACTGATATTTAATGTGGATAAGTGCAAGATATTGCATCTTGGACGTAAAAACCCAAGGGCAGAGTACAGAATATTTGATAGAGTTCTAACCTCAACATCTGAGGAAAGGGATTTAGGGGTGATTATTTCTGATGACGTAAAGGTAGGTAGACAATATAATAGAGCATCAGGAAATGCTAGCAGAATGCTTGGTTGTATAGGGAGAGGTATTAGCAGTAGAAAGAGGGAAGTGCTCATGCCATTGTACAGAACACTGGTGAGACCTCACTTGGAGTATTATACGCAGTACTGGAGACCGTATCTCCAGAAGGATATTGATACTTTAGAGAAAGTTCAGAGAAGGGCTACTAAACTGGTTCATGGATTGCAGGATAAAACTTACAAGGAAAGGTTAAAGGAACTTAATATGGATAGCTTGGAGGAAAGACGAGACAGGGGGGATATGATAGAAACATTTAAATACATAAAGGAAATCAACATAGTAGGAGGAGACTATATTTAAAAGAAGAATAACTACCACAACAAGAGGACATATTCTTAAATTAGAGGGGCAAAGGTTTAAAAATAATATCCGGAAGTATTACTTTACTGAGAGGGTAGTGGATGCATGGAATAGCCTTCCAGCTGAAGTGGTAGAGGTTAACACAGTAAAGGAGTTTAAGCATGCGTGGGATATGCATTAGGCTATCCTAACTATAAGATAAGGCCAGGGATTAATGAAAGTATTTAGAAAATTGGGCAGACTAGATGGGCCGAATGGTTCTTATCTGCCGTCACATTCTATGTTTCTATGTTTCTATAATATCAGATCTTCCCTTGTAAATAACAAACCCTCACACTCTGTGTAAGCCAGTGGTTTGAAAGAGATCTATATTATGTGCATGGCGTCATCGTAATGATTCATCTGCAAAAACTACCTGTGGCATGATGAATATGATGAGCTCATTTGAACCATTTGGTACCCATTAAGTTATAGTATTTGGCCCAGGAGGTAAGAGCCACTGATCAAGAAGGAGTAATTAGCACATGAAGGCATTGCTTCCACAAAAGTGAGACAATGTGGTCTCAATGGAATTTGCCATTTGCTCTGTGATATTTTAGGCATATTCACTTATAGGCAAACTGCTATTAGCATTAATTTAATTTACACTCAGCATTATACTAAAAAACAGAAATTGTGATGTATAGTTGTTCAGTAGACCACTCACAGTTTTGTAAAATTATTTATTTTTTACCATGACCATCTCCCTACCATGAATTTAAAAGGATGTATTAAGAGCATGGACAGATAAAACGCTATGAGTTGATGTTACCCATGGATAATCAAATTACATATTCAGTGTTTTCTTTTCTCAGGATTACTTATTGATTTGTAATACATATCACTTTTCAACTTTTCATGGTTACACATTAGAAAATAATCTATTGCACTAAAACAAAACCTACGGGGTGTGGGTCTTGTGCTTGTGCTTGTTGTAGTTCTGGTAGTTGTAGAGAGCATTGTTGTTGTGGTTGGAAGAGTTGTAGTTAGTGTTGTGGTACTTGAAGGTGGTGTAGTTGATATTATGGTAGATGGAGTTGGTGTATTTAGTGTTGTAGTGGATACTTGTGGAGTAATTGATGTTGTGGTGGTTGCAGTTGGTGTTGGAGTTGGTGTTGGAGTGGTGAGTTTTGGGATAGTTGGTGTTGTGGTGATTGGAGGGGCTGCCTTTGGCATTGGGGTGGTAAGCTGTGGGGTAGTTGGTGTTGTTATGGTTGGAGGGGGTGTAGGTGATGTTTTGTTTTTTGGAAGGGCTCCATTTGGTGTTGTGTTGGCTGCAGGTGATGTAGCTGGTGTTGTTGTGGATAGAAGTGGTATGGTCGATGTTGTGGTTGTTGGAGTTGGGGATGTTGCTGGTGATGCAGTGTTTGGGGTGCTTACTGCAATCATCATCTCCGGCACTGTAAAGATAAAACAATATTTTCCTTGTTAGTATTTGAATTAAAGGTAAAATGTTGAATTTGTTTTCTATTTACACAAGTCATGACAGATGGACAAATCACATTACAAATTCAATTTCATTATTGCTTACAGTGACAATATACACTGCCCTTACAGTTTCATAGAATTCCTAATAATATTGTGAGCATTCTAGACATATTTTGAGAATGTTTCTCTTATCCTAAATCATTGTAAATCTATATTTTTGTTTTGTTTTACTATTGTGGCCAATGGAGAACTGCACAACAGAAACATATATGTTTCCTTTTTTCACTTTTATGCTTTTATTAATGAAACGCTTAAATTTGTTTTGACGCCCACTGGTCGAAAAGATACCTGTTAGTTCATATTTGATTTTAACTCCAGTCAAATAGCAGTTAAAATCTAACTTAGCTTTCTTGACAACAAATACAGATGTGTCTTGTTATCAAAAAGTGGAATTTTGTTATTACTAAAAACAAACAAACAAATAAATAAAATGTCCCAAATAAGTTAAAAAGCCAAGTCGAATCTATGTAATACTGGTATAATTATTCACAAGTATAGAATGCCTGATCCTGTTCATGTTACTTTAAGTAGTTACTAATCAGGTAAAAAGTTAGTACCCACAACTGGAAATATTATTATAACTACTAAAGATAAATAAATAAAGTACTAAAAAATATAAAAGATAAATGTATTGTGCGAAATCTACAAATTCCTTGTGTTTGTCTATCAGGGTACACAGATTTTCTGTGCAGCAGAATATCACATTTAACAGAGTTAGAAAGTTTGTTTTCTGGGCAAACTGTTCACATTAAAACCCTAACAAATATCTATGTTCTACGAATACCTACTCACCAATATATAGCAATAGGAAATAAATATCAAAGAAACAAAGTAAAACCAAAATTTATTAACAAGTATACAAAAAAGGAAATAAAAAGGCAAACTGTGTCATAGATGTCAAATATCAACCATAAAATTTAGGACATAAAAATAAACACATAAAATATAAACATTTGCAGTTAGATTGGCTAAATTAATTATTAAATGGAAAAAAAATTATCTTAGCAATTAAAATAGTCACACAATATCCCACCCTCGCAAACAAACAAACAAACAAACAAACAAGCACACAAACATGCATAGAGTAAATTAATGGTAAAAAACATTGAAGGAGAATGTTTATTCATTTCAAGATTAACCCCTTAAGGACCAAACCTCTGGAATAAAAGGGAATCATGACATGTCACACATTAAATGGGTGAATTGACTGATATGCATCAGTAGATGGCAAACGTTTTTAAATACATTTTCATTTACCAACATACAATCAATGGCCAGAGTGACAAATGACAGATGAGTTTAATATGATACCCTGACAGAAAGCACAGACAGTGACTGGTAAAGAACATTGCAAATTAGCTTTACCCCTTCATGCAAATATACTTTGCATTAGGAAGATTCTACAAGGTTTAAAGATGTGGAACTGCTTACAATCCAACCAGACCTGGCTAGGACATTAAATAACCACGTGCATAAATAAAGATCTAAGGCTTCCCACTAAAGTTTCTCTGACCTTCCTTTTCAAAAGTGCACATTACGAACATACAAACAATTGGCATAACTGACGTATAATAGAGAATTGCCAATACCACCTCTTACATTTAAAAATATTCACATAATAGACTGTAGAGAGAATGTTCACTAATGCTCAAATGTGCACATGATGTAAGGTGCTGTTAAAAAGCATTAGTAAACCATCTCACAATTACAGAATATTGCTCATCGTGTCATTGAGATTTCAGCAATGCTTTTTTGCAACATGATGTTTTTATTAGCAAGTTGTTGGAGTAGATGTGTTTTTTTCCATTCTTTTTTTTTTAATGTATATATCCATGGGAAAAATTAGAATATGCACTCATCAATTTGGTATGCCAGAACTGGTAATTATTAAATTCTGAAATGGAAAAACATCTAAATTGGAGTGTTTTCTGAAAGTCATCTATTTTGTCCTAAAATGTGCAATTTCCTGGTCAATTCTCAGCAGTTCTTATTTTTGTAAATACCGCTGAAAGTAGAGAATTGTTATTGAGGTCACAACCAGAGACTTGTCTAGTTCTTTAACCCCTTAAGGACACATGACATTTTTGACATGTCATGATTCCCTTTTATTCCAAAAGTTTGGTCCTTAAGAGGTTAAACCATATAATATATCTATTCAAAAAGAAGAACATTTTGTCTTCCAAAGCATATTCCTTCGGAAAGTAAGAACAGTTCTGAAGAATAATTCTAAAAGTAGAATAATTAACATGAACATTCCATTGGCATGTTACATTTGCAGTTTTTATAAGCAATTACTCCATATAAATAACCCCTCTAGCCTAGAACCCTGATTTAGCATTATAGATAAGTCACTCACTTGCTGCCAGAATTATGAGTCCAATCAGTGTATTTGTTTTAATTGAGACCTTCATGTTTCTGACTAGTCTGCACGACTTGAGAGATGGAGGTAATTGTTGGATGAACAGGATCTGCTCTCTACATGATGTGTTGTTCTCTAAACTGTGTCTGTAGGTTAAATCTCAGACATGTGAGGGTAATAAGGAAATTAGAATTCCAAAGACCAATTTGCTGTAGAGAAGTAAAGAATAAACCAGACTTTATCTTTTAAGTCTCATGTTTATCATAAAATATTCCACACCCAATTCCAAGAACAGTGCAATTAATCTTATAGAAAGTGTTCAGAGATGTATATCTTGAAGATAATAAATATATCCTGGAAAGGTTAACAAAAACAGAGATGGCAATTATCCATTTATAAATAGATTTATTGCATTACCACATCTAGCTTTCACCTGTCATATATTGTCTCACAGTTTATCATGAGAATATATTCCAGAAATATGCTTGTCAGCCAATTGAATTGTATTTTAGTTTCACATCTCATAAATGAGTACTGTAATCCAATGTAATATTTCTAATTTATGTCATCTTTATTCTTTTCAAAGTTTTAAGTTACATCTTACCAGTGCATTATTGAATAACAGTGCTCTTAAACCCCTTCACTACCGTGTTCTTGTCACTAAAGAAAATGTAAATAATTTTTATTTGAAACTTTGGATGCACAGCTACCACATAAAATTAAAACTGAAACAGACATTGGTGTTTCCACAGTATCCCTTGCCTTGCTATATTTCCTAAATGTTCCAAAAATATTAATACTGAAGCACAAAGAAACATTTTGAAACATACAGCATGGTTGTTAAAATATAAAAACAATGGAGGGCGGGGGCCAGACTGTCATGGAGGTTAGATACATCTCAGATGAGCTCCTCCCCAAGCCTACTATAAAAAGCATATTAAGATCTACTAACGCTCGGTCTGGGACTGTACAAGCAATGTCCACGCTACCTTACTTACCTGCTATGCGAGGAGGAGATTGTCGATTCAACGAGCATGCACTGGCTCTACCATTGCAAATGTGACTTGACGCGCTCCGGCCAGGGGAAGCGGATGATCCCCTGGACCGGGGGTGCCCAAAGGCCACTACTCCTGTGCAAGCACCCTGTTACCCCCCTTGGACCGGTGGGGATGATCCAAGGGAAGCAACCCAATTAAGACTGGTGAACCCTTCATAACATAAGACCGTGCCACGACCTACCTAAAATGTCAGAGACCGCATGGCGCACTGCTCCTAGTGATGGTCCAAGTGATATACTTACCAAGCTGGACAGGCTCTTTTCCAACTTCTGGCTGCAGCTGGAACTAGGCATTGACTTAACCTACCACAGCTCAAAGACTACACACCTTAGGAGTCCACGGTTTTACACGGGGTGAGGGCCAACACGTGGTGGCAGAGCAGACAGCGCATTTCTTTCAAGAGCAAGGGGGCGCAAAGGCACACTCCGAGGCGGACCATAGCTGTATCCTGTAGGCTGTCAACAGCATCACTGAGCTTCCCAATCCGGGTGACAGAACTGATATACTGGCCTCCTACTAGAGTCCACGAGCAGACGCATAGGCGCTCTTGGCTCGGATCTTTGCACTGCCCTTGAAGGGCCTAGGCTGAGTCGGTTCGGGGACTGAGCTATAACAACAAGCCCATACTTCAGCTCATTAACATCTCGGCAAGAGTGCTGTTGGAAAGCTACTTGTTTTTCTTTTTGATATTTTGCTTAATGCCTGTTCTCCATTACCTGAGCGAGGGGGTTTTGTGACACCTGCCATCTTCTCTCTCGTCATTCCGCTGATGGGTGGGCCACCTAGGGGAACTTCTCTGTTTTGCCCAATATTGCTGTTTATCTTGTTTTTCTTTTCACATACACAAATGTGCTCCCAATGCAAATGCTCTGCTCTACCCTCTTCAGTTATGGTTATAATCTTGATGCATTGAGATATTCTTGTATTTTACTAAATATGTGTGCGTGGCTACCTGCAGGTCGTCTACCGATCCCACCTTTTTAGCAGTTAACCTATTCCTTCTACATGGGCCTTCTGAGGGGTCCTACTTGCAGTTAAGCTACCTGCTAACCTCTAAATTATTTACTGCCCACTTACCTTTAGTGCATATAATTTGTTTATCTTCTGCTACACTTATTACTACAATCTGCACTATGCTACTCTTGTCTTTCATCCTGCTTTATAGAAAAAATGTGCTGTTGAATAAATACACTTACCATCTTTGATAAGCTAATCCTATATCTATTTAGTGTATATTGTGAAAGTTTTAGTATTAACTTGCACAACAAAAATATAGAATGATAATAAAAATATATAAAAAAAACAATAACAAGAAATGCCAAATTCTTTGTTGATTTGTATTTGTAAGGCATGTGCTGGAATTTATAGAATTGCAAATTTGCAAAATCCCAGCAGAAAACAACAATATATCTACAGTATATGCATACTGCTTGTATGGAATAAATGCAACTGCCTAGCAAAAAAAAACCAGACATCTTGACTCCACAGGGAACAGTATTATTACCAACATTTAATTTCCGGGTTTGTTTTTTATAGACAATCTTTATTTAGTGTTTTTACAATTCTCTATTTTTGGCTCAGGTCATAGCCACAATGTACAACATTATACATTTTGAACATAGGTAAGATATCAGAAACAGCCGGTGAAGTCATACAAGTCATCTGCACATTTGGGCAATGGGCTGCTAACTGAGGATTTTTTATTAATATTGGAGGCGCCAATGCTTGGTTGTAGGCCACTCGCGCCTAGGTTATGTAGGTCTGCTAGGCCACGTGTTATCTTAGATTAAGGCTTGCATATGTAGGGCTAATGTTGTGGAGAATTACCCCTTGGAGGGGGATGTAAGTGCATCATTGGCGCTGGAGTGGGTGGGATCAATCTGAAGTACTGTGAGTTAACTACATAAATGGCTTGCAATGGCTAGATACAGGGTGTGAAAAATAACACATAGAAAATAAATAATGAGATAAACAATGAAATAAACAATATATAAGGTATTTCCACCCACAACAGGGGACCTAAAGGGGGGTTAAGTTTATGCCTTTGTTTTTCCCGGGGTACAAATGGGGTTACCCTTGTGGGGCCTTAGCCCCACAATGGCGCACATGTAGGAGTCAGTCCCATATGGGAGAGAGTCCTGCTGGAGCACAAAGGTGGGTAGAAGATCTTTTGCGCCTTGCATGTCTTGGATGATGGTTGAGGAGTCACCGTGGTGAACCAACAGCGTGCGAGGTCCTCTCCACTTGTGATGGTATGCAAGCGCAGGAGGGCTGTAAAGAGTTGGAGTGAGCGTCGGGATTCTTCCTCCAAGGTGGAAGCGTCGGGATTCTTCCTCCAAGGTGCCCAGCAGGTGTCAGGCCCTGCAGGTCTGTGTGGATGTGGGCTATGTCAGCCTGTATAGTGAGCTGCAACCCTGCCAGCAGTTCTTTCATTGCTACTGTCGTCACCAGAGCTAAGACAGGCTGTGGGAGAGCCGGGAGAGGGGCTTTCGAGATCAGTGAGTGCTCTGTCTCCACTCCAGTGGTAAAATCTTCCGAGATATCTGAACAGTCATTGGCATAGGTAGACATATTTGGGCCATAGCGCTGTGCGCTTGTCTCCATAGGTCACCGAGTCCATGCTTTGCCGTGGTTTGTCAGGTTTGGGCTTTTTGGTTTTCATCTTGCTTACAGCAGTCTGTGGCCCCATTTTCATGGGGTTAGGGCTGAGATAGAGGGCCCTGGATGGTTGTTTAGTGCAGAGCTCGGGCAGCAATCGGCCATTCAGGTCAGTTGCTTCTATTTAGTGTTTTTCATGCTTACAGTGGTATATCCAACATTGCAAAAAAAATAAAATAAATAGCACTTATAGTCAATGACTTGGCATCAGAAGTGTACACTTAGCGGAGTGCAAATCCTGCATTGATTAGATTAGATTATAGCAGGCAGTATCCTAGGTGGCAGAGTATGTGCACAAGTGTAACAAAGGTTTGCATGTCTCATCTTCTCAAGTATACTCAAGGTCCAGTTCTAGTGGGAAGAGCTATTTTTAAGTGTAAATTCTGTCGTGCTTGTCGTGCAAGTATGCTAGCTGTAAGAATCACAGTCAGCCGAGACAATCCTGACACTCCCTTGGCCACTCCTTCGAGTGGGTCAGGGAAATCTGCTGAGGTTCAAGGGTAAGCGAGAAGAGAAAAAAATGTGAAAAGAAAGAAAAATTTCAAGGGGGAAAATAAAGTGGTATCAGGCACACGGCCAAACCACAGACTCCCCCTATCCAATCTCTTGAGACTACATGCTCCACGGGCAGAGGTCTTCCATCCCAGTTATCAAGAGGCAGTCTCCTCTGCCATACACCCTACTCAAGCCAGGCTCCAAGTGACACGTGATAAAAAGATAAAGTGAGTCTCTTTTTTATTAGAGGGCAGAAGCCGTTACAAATCCCCAAGAACGTCGAGGTAAGCCTAGACTGGGCTAGCTGGGCATCAAGCTATATAATCACATCATGGGGCCCATGTTTGAGCACTCTATTCAGTCGTTCCACGTAATGAAGCCGTAAGGGATTCCTTCCCATACAGTTCCTCAACTTTATCCATTCACTGCTTCACAGTTGAGGTCTCTGCTGTGCAACAATTTGAGTGGAATGAGAGATTTGGCTGTGTTTAAAAGATGTCTCATGAGGGAGCATTTGTAAGCGGAGAGTGAGAGATTTATGTGATGCTGCAGCATCGGAAGGGGCTGAAGAGGCAGATCAAGGGGTCCAGGATTTCAGTAATCCGGGAATGTATTTGTTGCCAGTAAAGTGTCTGGTACATGTCCACCAGACATGTAAGTCTGTTCCCACTTCAGTTTCACATCTCCAGCATGCAGGGAGTCCAGCATTCAACATTTTCAGTTTTTATAATATATCGACCTGCGGTTTAATAATTCTACTCTATGCTTCTTAATCCCTCAAGGAAGTTTAATGCAAATAAAAACTCTTATCTCATCATATCTAATGTTACGTTATGTCTACATTGGATACCAGAACAATATATACCAAACATTTCACACAAGATATAATACCTTTAATGTTAAAGGATGTTCACTTTCTCATCGCTGATCGCATACATGTTCAGATGAGAAAATACAGATATGTGTAAAAAAGAGGAATATCTATGGATCTAAAAAATAATAATATACAAAAACTGGGTTATGAAACCTATCTATGAGAGAGAGGTGCTTATAAACAGATACTAGAAAGATATATGTAGAAAACTGTAGGTTCTTTCATTATATCACAACAAAATATACAAGAAATAATTCCTATACTGTGTGACCTGGTCACTAAGAACCAACAACAGTAAATAAGGGGATCGCTAGAATGGTAGTTGACTGTATAATCTCTCACCCTTTTTATGCACTGGAGTATATCAATTAAATAGTCTCAAAGGAAAAACAAGAGAGAAAAATATATGGTAACAGTGTGGTTTAAAGTGTGGTATTTTCATTAGTTTTTAAGAAAGGACACACGTGTTACAGATTTGAGCCAATCTCTACTGGGCTCTACGTTATGTGAGTGTGTCCTTTCTAAAATAAATAAATAAATAAAGAATCAAACTTTAAACCACAGTGTTACCCTGTATTTTCTCTCATATTTCTTTTGAGACTTTTTGATTTCTATACTCCAAAACATATAAAGGGTGAGTGATTATATATTCTCTTACAATTATAGTGCCCACTTATATACTGGTGGTGGTTCTTGGTGACCAGGTCACACAGTATAAGATTATTTTCTTATAAAAAAAAAATTAATATGTCATTAATTAATTATTTATAGTCATTAGAAAGAGCAAAGTTGAAAAGAGAAAGCGAAATATTTCCTTTTTAAGTGAATCCCACTCTTAAGGTAAACTAGGCAGATACGTAATAATTATGACAATATTAGTAGTAGTAAAGTTCCGAGTCTAACATGGTATCCCAAGTGATAATGAGCGTGTTCATTCTTGCAGTACTAATTCTTAAAGCATACAACATTTATTACTATGAAATAATATGTTTCTTAGCTTTTGCGGCTTTGTCTCAATGACATTTGGAAAATACTAAACGCTAAATTAACAGAAAAAACTAAAGCAGCAATCTATTGCTAGGACAATGTAATGCCCTCTGTCTCAACTTCTGTATACTTATGGCTCCAAAGGGCATCTAGTGGAGTATTGATCGCTATTATTTAACCCCTTCAGGACGGAGTCCACAGTACACGTTCTGATCAAAACAAAATGTAAACAAAAACTGGAATTTGCGCTATATGTCTGTTCACCCGTAATTCGGCTCT